TTACAAAAGACATGTCAAATTGGAAAGTAACATTTTAACTGAAAGCATTTGTGGGACAAATTCTGAAAATCTGATCTAATATGGAAAGTTTCCAAATCCTGGAGTGTCTTTGAGAATGAAATTCTGGCTCATGTATAGTTCTGATAATATCCAGAGTTCAAGTGTAGCATTGATCTTGAATTTCTTGACCAATAAAACTACTTGTGTGTGTGTGTGTGTGTGTGCATATGGGTTTTGCAGATGGCTTCCATCCTTTTTTATCAAAACACTTTCCATTATTAGCCAAAAATATCTGCACAAAAGCCTCTGTGTCCAGGCTTGAATACTGGCCAGTGTCAGAAATATGGAGAATAGTAACTCAATATCTTGCGTGGCTATCTTTTGCTCTATATTGACATAGACGGAACTGGATAAAATGAAGTGTGTAAACTGAAATTGAATGAGCTACAAAGGTTTAAATTATTCATTTGGGAGGTATGTTCTGAGTGTCACGGAAACTCTAGAGATTGGGGGAAATAAATAAGAGCATTTTTCTTCCTGTTTTTGGCTTTCATCTTTGCTTACTGAATCTAGGAACTGCAGGGGCAGTGGGGGATGTTGCCCCGTGGCAGCAGCTGGTGTAGGTGGAGGGTCTTCTGAAAGCAGCCTCTGAACAGGACATGCAAAATTTGCAGCCGCTCGAGAGCGGCACAGCTTTGCCTCTCATTACTGAATAAAGCTCCCTTTTAGACCTCGCCACCACAATAGGGGTTCCAGATGCCGCTCCTGTGACAAACAAGCAACAACAAAGATATGTATTTTCTGAAAGCAACAGCCACTTTCCATGCTGGTATTCTTACGCGATTCTATGGCTCTAGATGTCCCTTCCTCACAATAGACTTGACAGTTTAGTCAGATCCCCTACAATGCAAGAGAAAAGAAAGTGTGCTGCTTTTTAGAATAAGATATCAGCTGAAGTGCTCATACTACTCAGAATCATCTGTATCACTTTTTTTAAAAAAAACCCAGCTACTTAGTAGTCAACATTTACTTTTCAGTGCCTGCAGTTCATGCAATAGGACAATATACAACTGGAGAAAACAAAGTTGCAGCCATCTGCTCATTATTCGTGTGAATTTTACTGCCTTTTCGTGCAATACAAACAAGTTCCCTGCGGCACATGCCTCAACAGCCTACGTTAAGGCATGTGGTATGCAGGTGCACGCGGCTGCTGCCCAGTGCCGGGGGCTTGTGGCACCCTGGATATCACTACGTTTCCCCTAAAGGGTCCAGGATCTGACAGGACATTGGGAGTCCCCAGATCACCAAAGCTCATACAGGTTCTCCTTGGTACAGCCCTGGCTCTGGGATATGGCTAGAAAAACACCATGGGGCCAGACGGTGCTTTTCCAGCCCACGTAGGGATAGGAAATTGCTTTCCATCATGGGCTCCTGCGAAAGGCAGTGTCCCACTGATCTGCAGGATTACCTGCAGCGGATGGCATAGCTTGCCTACTCATGCCTGCATGGTAAATATGCCTTGTGGAAGGGAATTAAATGGTGGGTGTGAAAAAGCTTGACTGCTATAATTATTGCCAATTAGTCTATATATTTCTCTCTTTTTTCTGTACATTGAACCAGTCTTAAGACACAGGTGATGGTGAGGAGAAAAGGATATTATTTGGGGTTGGTTCAGTTCCTTGCGTTGTTTCTGCTCATTGTCCTATCTTTTATTCTTTTAACTGTTAATTAATAACGACACTGCCCAAGATTACATTTGTCGCTTTAGTGAAATTGTCATTCCCCTCTTTCCTCCTTTTAATTCCATCCAGTCCCTTGGAAACTCACCTCTTTACTCTAAACACTTAGATATAATGACAATTTCTCTGTTCACAAAAGCAATGATTTCTTATGTGATCCAAGCCACGGGAAAAAGTAACATAATTCTTGGGAGGGAAAAGAGTGTATAGGTTATGTTATATGATCCTCAAGTTACCTCATGAATCTTATTATTCTGAGTTCCTCATCTTTTTTTCTTTTTTTTTTTATGTTTTTATCATATCTACTGAAGGTTTTCACACACATTCAGAGCAGATTAAACAGTGGCAGGCAAAACAATTATCATCTCCATCTTTCTGTCCTGTCCCTCTCTGCAAAACTTCTGCCCCTGCAGTCTGGACTGTGGGACCTCTCCTAAACCAGCGCAGTTTTCTGCTGGGCTTATTACAGTAACTGACTCATAAATCATTGTGATCCACCATGCTGCAAAACCCCACAGTCAAGAGGTGATGCACAAGCCCTGCCTCAGCTGTGGGCAGCAGCTTTTGTGAGAAGACTGAGAGGATGACGGGGGAGCAGAGATCACTTCAGCAGCAGGATTTTAATCTGACAGCAAAATGTCAAGATCCTAAAAGCTTCCCATGGAAGAGCAGTTACAAGCGGGGAGAATTTTGACATTGGTCCCCTCATAATTGTGCTGTTTCTTTCCCCTTTTGCCAGCCCAAGTTCTTAGGCAGACCACAAGGGTGGTGGTGAAAGCTTAAACCACATTCAGCTCTTTCTTGAGTTCCCCAATAGCCTTCCAGTATGAAGGAGGGGCAGAAGTGTCATCTGTCATGTTTAGGGGTAGCAGAGTTGTATGACACTAAAGCACAGGGAAGAAAACAAAATCTTGAGAGCAAATAATCTCCACACCTCACTGCCCACAGAAAAGACAGGTTAATCCCAAAATATTTTGATGCCGTTTCTGGTGCTGACAGACTGGTTGCTCTTCTTCATACTAGACACGGCCAAATATGAAGTTTAAAACCCTTCATAAAGGTGAAGCAAATTCGCATGTTCTTGTAAACACATCTTTCCTTTCCCTCATAGAAACCTGTGCTTTAATGATATTGTAGTTAACTCATGGCAGCAGACACTGCGGGCTGGCCTGGGTTTTCACTTGCTTTCTGGAATGGTTTTAATGGACCCATGCTCTTAAAAAGATTTGTGCAGCTTTTAACTGTCAAGGTTTCTGATGCTTATTTCTCAGATACAGTTTGCCTTAGTGATAGACAAAGCAAGAAAGATTTAATTTTGGCAGCTGCATACAGAAGGGGAGAAAGGCCTTACTTAAGACTGGCTAATATGCTTAGAGAAGCCGCCTCAGGAATGGATGGGCAAATCCCTAGCTGCGGGTTGCCTTTTAAAAAAGGAAGTCGAATAAGGATAGTAAACTGACATTCTGAAGAAAAGCTAATGCGGAGCCAAGCCAGATAGGAAGCAATGCGTAAATGCCTCTACTGCCATAGCAGGACACATTCTGACTGCAGCTGCCTCACCAAACTAAAACGGAATTGAAAAAAACTTATTTTGGCTTAAAGAAGGAAAAAGCTTACTTCCTGAGAACAGTGCCTCACCTTGCTTTAGAAAGCATCTTCTTATTTTTGCAGTTTTCAATAGCAATAAAACAATTTATTTAAACTCCTTCTAGCAACTCAGAACTCAATTTTCCTTTCTTATTACAGGTGTTTATGACAAACACATCAGCCAGGATTTTTCTGCATATGGAGACATGAATACACCTTCCTTAACTAATGGGATTGCCTGTTTTATGCTAGATACACATTTAACACATACTTTTGTAATACAGTTATTGATGCAATGGATTAAGTATGGGAATACAAAACCATGCAAGAAATGAATTCACAGTCACTGATAATGTTAGAACGATTCATGGGCACTAAGAGGAATGAGTACAACAAAGAAAATGTAACCAGTGACAGTATTTCTTGCTTTAACAATATTATAGGAATAAAGCCATATGTCAAAAATAAATCTGTTTTGGAGTTGTATTAAAATACACTGTTTTAAATACACATACATACAAGAGAGTGCACACCCACACAAATGATGTTAAAAGAGCAGTTTTATGCCTGCAAAGTCATTTTACCAAAAAGCCAGGAAATATCAGAAATAAAATCATGCAGAAGAGAAATTTGTCCTCTACATTGTGTCTATGTATTATGTCATAGTCTTTAATGACACAGTGATAATTTTTTTTTTCTAAAGGACTATACCTCATTCAGTGCACAGGATGGATGCTGCTCACTTAATCAGCAGCTATTCAGTCTCTTGTTTACTCCTCATTATAAAATGAGAGGCCCCAAGCCTTGTTTACTGTGCACTATTCAAATTATTCTCTAAAGACAGAATTTTTAGTTGCCTCCTGGGCTTTTGAATCGAGCTCATCCTTGTGGTATCCGAGCACTTTGCAATTATTTATACAGGATCCTTGTGAAAATAAGGGATATTATTAGTCCCAATTTACAAATTCACAGAAAAAAAAAAAAAGGAGAGGAGCGGGATTCCAGTCTGAGCTACCTAAGGGTAGATTTTTCCAATGCATGCAGCTTTATGTGTTTAAAAAGCAGAGTTCAGGTCCCATTGAGCTCAGCTGCAGCTGCAGTACTCAGCACTTCCACAGATCAGGCCTCAGGGTACGAAGTCAGATACTCAGAAAAACAAGTTTGGGGTTAAAATCTGCCAATTGAAAGCTTGCTTTATGCAGTTTCTGACTCCTTGTCTGGTCCATTTCTTTTCCATGGTTCCCTCTCCAAACTTTTACTCCAGCCCTCATCTCTTCCGCAGTCTTCTCACCCTAGATCTAGCCTCCTCATAAGCTTCCTCGCAGCTCTCCGGACTTCTGGTTCATGTCCCAGACTCCTCGTCCAGCCAGTCCCACACTCAGCCTCCCCAGTCTTCACCTAGAAGGTCTTCCAAGCTAACAGGAAGGATTTGAGGAGCGGATGAAGGTGAGCCAGGGACTGCTTGTGAGAAGTCAACCTGCGCAAATTGAGGAGGGCATCACAAAGAAGGCTCTAGGGTCTTCACAGAGTTTCATGGTGAAAGATTGTGAGACTACAGACACAAATTGAAACAAGAGAGATTCAGACTGGATATGAGGAAAAATTTTCCCCAGAGGCACAATAAAGCAGTGGAACAAGTTACTCAGCAAGGCTAAGCAAGCTCTATCTTTGGAGATTTTCAAGACCTCAGTGGATCAAGCCAGTTCTGACTATGCTGTTTCTATGCAACTGTTGACCATGCAATCATCCTGACCTGCTATGTCTAGCAGGAGACTGGACCCTATTTGCCTGAGTTATCCTATGGCCCAGAGGGTTGTTTTGATCCTCTTTTTCAGCTCTGCTTTATGTTTCAGCCAGCTTTCTCCCAAGAGAAACTCAGGTAAGATTTAGCTGAGGTTTTATTGAGATTTGAATCACATTTCTTTCTTAGAAATGCATTTGCAAGAGCTCCAAAAGAGTCCTGGACCGGTGCATGGCCAGTGGCACTGGTATCCACAAAATGAAGTTCTGAAATCTGGATTCCTTCCCCATGGACTATAATTAAGTGAAATTTGGGAGTTTTCCCCTTGGGGACAGGAAGAGGTATGGTCCTGAGAAGAAGGCCGTGGCTTCTTTGAAATATGAGGGTGCTGGAGATTTTCAGAGAGAAGATCGGGAGAAAATGACAAAAGAAAACTGTTTTCTCTGATTTTGTTCTCAAAGACTAACTGTATTTCTCCCAAAATAAAGAAAAGCAATAATACGCAGCAACAAAAATAGAATATTATATTGCAAATAGTTGTCCTCCAACATTATAAGCAATGTAAATATGGCCTGTCAAAGAGAAGAGCTTTAGGGTAGGTGATGGTTCCTTATGGCCTGTCAAAGAGAAGAGCTTTAGTATAGCTGATGGTCCCCCAACTCGCCTAGAAGAAGGACCAGCGTAAAATGCTTACATGTTTTACTTTTGCATAGCGAATATATGACAAGCAGGAAATGAACTGAGAGAAATAAAAGGCAGGTGTATACCGGCCTTGAGTGTGGTGTGAATGCATGGTCTGAAGCACCTACCTCTTCTCACCCAACGAACAAATTTTTATGGGCAGTGTTATGGATAAAATGAAAATAAGCATGCCCCCCAAGAGCTTTTCTTTCTATAGATGCGTTTCAGAAATTTCAAAATATACCACCAATGAAGAGCTAAGTGTCAAGACTGCACTTAGATCTAAGTAACAAGACTGCACAAAAATAGAAAAGCCCTGCTTATGTGGAAAGTAGTACTGTCTCAATTTGGGGTTTTTTTTGTTCTTCTTCAACGAATTGAATGCTTTCAGCTTCTATGAGGATTTATCATTTCTGTTTAAAAGCAGTTTGTTTCAGTTATATATATATATCTACAAAAGAAAGGCTTAAACTAAATTGAAAGAAGTCACAACTAAGCTGAAAAAAGAAAGGAATATTTACATATAAATGTATATTTATATGTGTGTGTGAATACACAGCTATGCATCATTAACTAAGTCAGGGTCCTGGGCTGAAATTCAAGTATCTGCTGGGCAATGCTTGTCTTCCAGAGCAGAGATCTCTGCAGAGCCAACGAGGGCAAACAACAGAAGCCACCAATGGCAATGCCATTTTCTACAACGGCCTACAAGTTTTTGGTGCTGTCATCTCTGGTCACCATGAGCACCGTGGTGCCTTTTCCAGTGTCGTGCTGCCCAGGGGTGCTGTGCCAGGGAGGCTGCTGTGCCCCAACTTGGTAGGTTCCCTTCTCCACCCTCAGCAGTATCTGCCAAGCAGCTCAAGTTCAATCAGGAGCTGAACAAGTGCAGAGCTGGTGCAGCAGCCTTAATCCCTGTAACTTTAATTTCTTTCAGCTATAGAGGCTGGCAAATGGAAGAGGTAACTTTTTTCTCTTTTTTTTTTTAAAAAAAAAAGGAAATGAATCTTGGCCTGTAGGGGATGGACTTCATTGAAGCAACTATTTACTGTTGCAAAGAGAAAAGAAAAAAAAAAAAAAGCTTTAGATTTATTGGAATCTTTCTGGGAACTAGCATAGAAAAGGCAGGTCATTCTCTCCTCTCATATCCTCTGCCTCTTTCCTACCCCTTTCTACAATTTGAATGGGAAATTTTGACATCCACTTTCCAACTCAGGGCTACTCTCAGCACTAATTTTTAGTTTCATTGGGAGCATTTGAACCCTTGAATGGGGCTTCTCTTATCATCTCCACACCAAATAGTTATTGCTATAAAGGAGGGGAGAGATAGGGAGAGATGTTTAATACCTCTCAGCTGAGGAGGCTGCTGCCACTAACCTGCTTTTTTGGTGGAACAGTGAGTCATCCATTAGGGCTAGTGCAAGATTTATTTATCTGAGTTAGAAGAAATAAATAAAAATTGAGAACAAACAAACAGCAGTCACTGACAGTCAGTTGGTACCTAATGAGTCATATTCTTGGTTTAGCAGACTTTGGGATGTTTACTGAACATTTTTTTTTCTGAGCACAGTTTTTCTTAAAGTCTTCTATGCTGGTACTAAGCCTGTGATTATAACTCCCTTTATCTCCTAACCCTGTTTGCTTCCTGCTTGGTAATTTCACTTCTTCAGGAAAGTCAAAGAAAAAAAAAAATATTTTTGCTAACAAGAAGGAAGTATCTAGTGCTTAGTGAGAGCTCCTCTCCGACATGTGGTTTCCTGAGGCTGTGGCCTGATAACCACATGTGTCAGGTGGGACACCTGGTAGACCTTGCTTGTTCCTGGGTACTGACATTTTTTCCTGATTTTTAGTAGCTAAAGCACACTAAAAAGATGAAAAGCAGACAGTGCATAAGTCTCTGCTCCAACTTGGCTGTGCTGTCAGTTGCTCCACTTGGCTCTGGGATGTTGCACAGGCAGGACTGGTGTGAGGTGTCACTGTGAAGGTGAAGGCTCTGGAAGGTCACTTGGGTCTGTGTAGAGATAAAGCCCATATTGGGGAAGAAAAAGAGAGAAGCTTCCTTTGTTTAGAAAGTGGATATTTCTTTGAATGGGAGACAGGAACCAGAAGGAAGGTTTCAAACAGAGCCAGTGCAGTGAAGGTAAGAAAGATTTGTAGCAGTTTACAGTGGTAATCTTGTTCGCATTTTTCTAACAAAAGCCTATGTTCACTTCAGAAGAAAAGATGAAAAAAAAGGGGGTAAGTTGGAAGTAGAGAAAGCAATGAATGTTAGAGAGAAAGTAAATCAGTTATGCCTACTTACTGTAGTACAAACACATAAGATAATAGGATATTGGGAATGTGCCTGTCAAAGCAAAGGAGCTGGGGAGAAAGGGCAAGTGCGAGTTGCCTATTTTCTGAGCTCAGTGTCCAAAGCCAGTGCTCACAACCAAGCCTGGAGTGTTATTTTTAAGCCCTGAAATACCGCTGTTAGATTTCACATCGATTCCAGGGCAGAGGTGACTGAGATGCATAACGTGACACGTCAGCTGTCTGGATCTATTCAAAACCCACGTTGGCCACAGAGGCAAAGAAAACATGAGTGACAACTTGGTAGCCTGGTAATCCAAGCTCAGCCTTCCCTGCGCCTCGGGCCACCCGGGAGTCCCTGCTTTTGCAGTCCCTTTGGCAGACGGAAAGTCAGTGAGATGCTGCCCTGGGGCAGTGGAAGTTGAGAGAGGGTACATCTCGGTTTATGGGGAGTGTAGGTAAGGCCATCAAGTAGTTGCCTCTGGACATTATCTTAAAGGCTGCTGGACTCCAACTTGCTATGGGAAAATGCACACTGTTAGGAATACAGCTGCGGCATTTGGGACAAATCACAGTCAAAAAATGGGTGGGGAGCAAATCTGGAAAAAAATAAAAAGGAATGAAAGTTTGGTTGTCACCCCCTACCCGTATCAGAAGCATGTTTCTATATTTGGTTGAATTTTAAAGCAAATTAATACATCACTGTCGCTCACAAGGTCATGGGATTCCCAAAGAGGTCTCTCCAGTTCCTTTTCTTTGTCCTTATGAGTCTTTGAAATAAAAACGCTGATTTTTCAGGCTTCTAACTTTCAAGGGCATTTTCTATATTGGGTGAGATCTAATGCCCCGACCTGGTGGAAATTCCTTCTTTCCTGATGCAAGGGTGTTAACTACAGATGTGGGAGCTTAGCATAAGCACTGTTTTTTGAAAATCTTGACCCAAGCTTATAGGGTGTTCTTAGAAGCAATACTTTGAGAAAGGGAAGAGCACAGAAACAGCGCTACTTGAATATACTTTGATTATAATAAATCACAGCCAGTAAAGCATCCCGTAATAAGAAACTCAACTCTTCATTTGGTTCAGGCTCCTTCTGTTACTGTAGAGTCATCAGGGGGCAGCACAATTACTTTGGTGCAAAGTTATTTACTTCCAGGCTTGTGGTAGACCATAGTGAATTATAGTTGCTGAACAAGCTTTTATCTAAGATTCCTGTAACTGAGCAATTAGCTTTCTGACTCTTATGCTAAAGCAATTCATGTAAACAGATTATGGTTGTGAAGCGAAACATTTAACAAGTCATAAATTGTGAATCGTGTTGATTTGTCCTTTTCTTCTACTTTCTGAACAAAATATGGATTTCTGCCTGCAGCAGAGTACTCTTTTCTAAGCTTGAGGCATGTGAATATCCTTGTCCCACAAAGGGCCACTCATTTACCATGGAGTATAAGGGGACTCCTCTAAGGCACAGGCATTTGGGGCTTTGTTATAAGCAAGATGCCATCAGTTATGACAGGCTGTGAATTTACTGCATGTTAACTGATCCCATATTAATTTATAGGGAGCGGAGATTACATCACATTTACCACAAGTAAGAAATTGTGGTTGTGTAGCTAATGCAAAGTAAATGAGTTTAAATAAGACAATTTCCTAACTTATCCTATCTACTTTTGTAAGTAGCTAAGACCATATGATACATCATGCAGCTCCCTTGTGTGATGGTACTTCCATGTCTGTGTCCATGCTTTGCATAGCAGAACAATGCCATATAAAATATCATCGATACCATAGGAATTTGCACCCCTTTAAACAGGTGGTATGATTGCAAGTTCTCTGCAGATTTAGGCCCTGTTATTTGTAGACTTCCTTGGCTCACAACTGCAAAACGTGGACCATAATTTTTAGAGTAATGATACTCTTCCTTTAAGACTAGTCCTTAAACCTTCCCTGGAGCAGAACCTGATAAGAAAGGACTTTTT